TGAGTCAAGGTTTTTGATCATAGGGGTCTGGAGTTCATCCTCTAAATTAATTTATTACTTTCTCCCCCCTAGTTTTCTCATCTACTTCTAAGTCAGTAAAGAAAACTAATTCCTTACATTTCTTTAAAACTTTGTGTAATCCTGATTTTAAGTACACATGACTTGGACGTGAAAAATTGCTGCCAGTTAGATTGCTTCACTGGAACTACACATACACTATGGGATATAGTAGCACTTTTTGGCTTAGCCACTTATGTCAGGAAACAAGAGATAATTCTGTGAGAGGAGTGGAACAAATAGCCTTTGGTTAAAATTGAATAGTAAAATTTTCTTTAAAGAAATTTAAACTATTTTTCTGTAGTATTTATGTCCTTATGTAGCATTTACAAAAACCAGTGACCGCAGCTTGGATGAAGTTCTTTGTTCTGTCTCTGTAGGCAGCTGAGATGTATGAAGTTGTTATATACAGCTTGAAAATTTTAGCTAAGGGCTCTGACTCATCCCCAGTTACTTTTCTGCTAGACTCTGCCACTCAGGCTGGGAATTGTCTCTCCAGCTGACTCTTAAATCCCAAATAAATTGAGTAAGCAGGAATATACTCCTTCCCTGCTCTTGACTAGCATGACCATATAGAGTATATCAACCATGTACTATCTCATGGAAAGCATTTAGGAAGCATTTCAGGGAGCTGGACTCAATGATTCTTATGGATCCCTTCCAACTTGATATGCTCTATGTTTATATGGTTCCCTGTGGTTGGTAGGAGAAGGTAATTTATTTAAAAGTTGATAGCAGAGCCAAATCCTCAAATGACAAGACAGTGACTTACTTTAACCTCAGTTAAACTGTCAAAAATATGCCATTACCAGGAGGTGTCCTTAACTGAATATGAGGGACTGAAATCTGGAGAGGTAGCACAAGAGCTGTCAATAAATTGTGCTACTCTTACTCAATCTCAAAGCAAACAAGGCTGGACACTAAGGGCAGCTTTTGTCTGTCACCATGATTTAGTGGAAAGAATTGTCAGCAACTGAAAGCATTTAAGCCTCAGGAAAATTCTGAAAAATGGAGGTACTATCTAACAGAACATAAGCTTTAATACTAAAAGAAGAAAAACAGCATCTGAGATATTCACAGCTCTAGCATCTGGTACCCAGATAAAATCCACTGCCAAGGACTGCTGAACAGTCTTTTTTCCTGCAACATTCTAAAAAAAAACCCCAACAAAACCAAACAAAAAACTACATACCTAAATTGCAGTCTTGTCTTGAAGTTGTGCATGGGAAAACAGTACAGTGATGGGAAAACCAAGTAAAAGGCCATACAGAGTGAGTAGGTGCTTTAAAACAGGTAACTCTGCACTCTAGAAAAGTGCAGAATTCTGTCCTTCAAGTCTACAAGTATTTTTTTTTTCATTTTGAACATGAACACAAGCAATTTTCATTCTTCTCTCCTTATTGTGTGCACAGAAAACATCACAGGGATAATGCTTACTTATCCCTCAGGGGGTTGTGAAGATTAATTAGTTAATGTTCTCGTTGCATGTCAAAGATGAAAGCTCAGCGTAAGTGCTAAGCATTTGTGTATTCACAGACACCAGAAATAAGCATTCGCCGCAGGAAACATTAAAAGGTTTTCTAGCTGTGACCAATTTCCAGAGGTGAAACCCTTATTACAGAAAAAGTTTGCAAAATTACTTGTTAGTAGCTGAACTATTTAGAGAAAATATTGTATAAGACACCCTAAAAGCCTATTTTTGTTTTGGAGCCTGGATGTAGGAATCATTGAAAACCTGCTGGTTCCACTAGGAGAGAAGAAAGGAAAGATGACTTATGTACTTTAGTGAGATTATAGTGGAAATGAGGGGAGGAAAATGTTCTACTTGGAGTTTATAGTCCAAAGAATACTTAAGATATTTATACCTCATATTTTCCCCCAGGATTCTGCCATTTATCTTATTTTGTACTTTTCATTTTGTGTAATAGGTCTTGATCTAAACCTTAGTGTAGGTATTGTAACATTTTACTCATTGCAGTTTGTGATTAAAACTATATTTTGCCAGGAGCAAAATGAGAGTATTTGAACATTTTTCACAATCAAAAAGAAGTTACAGAATTAAATATAAATACTAAACTATACCACTGTGTGAAGTGATGGAGATAACATCAAACTAATTTTGTACTGTAACACAATAAAATGTGTTTTTGTCAGTGCAAAAATAAATGGACTGGGAATGCATCTTCCAATATTTTATTGTTTCAGAAATTACTCTGGAGCGCATATTTGGCTTATTATCAGGACAAAGATACCAGATTGCATATACATGCACCTAAACAAAAATATATAAATATATAAAGCTTAAATATACATTTAGACATACATATGAAGATGAAGCTCAGACACATATACAAATACACCTACAGAGATATATATATGAGTGTATGTGGGTGTATGTGTAAACTGTACACGAGATGTATGACATAAATGAATATGTTAGGTTTAAAGATGTGCACATTTTTATTTTTATTTGTATAAATGTTTGTGATACCAAAATTTAACTTCAATTTACTTAAAAATGTGACAAAACCCATAAAACATACCTGGGTGTCTTTGTTTCTGCATACAAATGTTGCACTAAGGGATAGTCTCTAATCCTTGTTCTGCCTTACAGTTTACAGGAAATTTTATTATCAAATTTTCCAAATGGTATTTGGCTTTGATGTCTTTGAAACGGATGAGGAGCTGTTTCAGCCTCATGGGAGTGGGCAGTCCACTGTTCCTGAAGTTCTTGAACTGTATAACCATAGAAAGCCTTGACTAGTGAATATAATAATAATTATTCAGAGCTAATGGGTTTTGGTGACAGGCTGCATAATTATGGTCAAAAACAAGTGGAAGAATCAAGATTTTTATTTGTCCCTCAAAGACATTTAGTTATACACTTTTCTTTTTTAGATAAAAAATAACATCTCTATACATTCATTTTCACTAGCTTTGCAAATAAATACTAGGCTTATTGTGGATCAAACAAGGTTAAAATGATGGTGATGTAAATTCTGTATTCCAGTCTGGGATATATGAAACTATGCTCATACTGCAGACTCTCAAGGCACTTTGAAATTTGTGAATTTTCCCTGTCTCTAATATGTGGCTCAATCAGGAGAAATGGAATTTTTTAGAAGACTTTCCAGCCAAAAAGCAATTTTACTATGTAAATCACTAAGCATTTGTGAAATTCCAGTGCCCCAGGGAATTTTCTTCTTAACAATTAATGCTCTTTCCTTCATTTTGACTCTTCTTCAAAGAATCAGAAGAAAACTAAAAGTGCTCCATTTTATGGGTAATTTCAAGATACTTTTGCTTTTATTATTGATTTTCTGCTAACCGAGTGTTTTTTGACTTTTCCAGTTCATACAAAATCCAATATAAACCAGAAATGTCTGCTTTGGTTTTTTCTGCAATTGTTTTGTGCCTATAGGACGACTTTGTGTGGAGATTGGTCTTCCTTAGGCAAGAGCAACATCATTGAAAAGGGTATGGTACTTAGTCTGTATCTGCCAAAAAATAACAATGAAAATTTTCCACTGCAATTTTTCATCTTCAGTAAAGCCAGAATTAAATGTGCTGTTCTGAAATACTGATGTGTACCAAGCAGCCAAATTCTGTAGCCAGAGCCAGAGGGAAATGAATGGAGAACTGAATGCAGATAAGTCATATGATTCTCTCAAATCAAAACATCCTAAAGGAAAGTGTCCCTGCCCATGGCATGGGGCTTGGAACTAGATGGTCTTGAAGATGTCTTCCAACATAAATTATCCCTTGATCCTATGATTCTTGAATAAATCAAATGTGTGGCTGAACTAACTGAACTTCTATCTTTAAAACACAGGCAAAGGGAGTTATGAGCAGTGGAAAAACTTAACAGAGAAAAATAGGAGCGTGCAAAACTAAAATAAAATACAAAGGCAGGCTTTGTGAGCTTCACACTGTTGAAGGTAATATTTATGCTTTCAAAGTACCCAGTAGCACAGGCTATCAATATCACCAACCCTAACATGCCTCCTAGGCATGTTCCTAGGCATGAAACAAACCCAGACCTGCTCAGGCTACAGAGATGAAATGTTAATTCAGGTCTTTATTCCTGGTATGATCTATATGAGATGAGGAGAAATTGTGACCCAAGTAGGAAAGGAGCTGAGCAGCACATGAAAATGGGCATTGCAGCATAGTTAGATAAAGGACTTTATGGTCTGATACTCACAAGAACCCACCAACATGCTGGTCAGAACTGTCCTGTTTTTTCCTGACAGCTAACTGCCCCCAGCCCCTGGGAGGGAGCTCTCACCAGGAGCCTAAGCAGCAAAGCAAGGATCAGCAGAAATTCACACATCAGTTGCAGGCTGCCGTGTGTACCCAAGGAAATACCTTCAACCACAGACATCCAATCTGAGCATTTTCTGGAGGACTGACTGCCCAGTTCTCATATCTACCCTTGGGAGACATACATATGTGCTAGTCCAATAATTGTTTAATAACTAATTTTATACCCTTTCCTCTCATAGCTTGTAACTCAAAATGCACCCAACAACAAGATTTGATGAAAACTAAACTAAAAAACTTAAGAGAACAATGTTTTTTTTACACCTGCAGGCATATAGCAAAAAAAAAATTAAAAGAAAAAAAAAGCATAATTATGTTTCATATAAGAACACAGAGAATATATTCCAAACAGCCTGAAAATTACAGGTATGTTTGTAGCCATTATTTTCCTGAAACAGGCACTAGCACCAAACGTGGCACTTAAAAATAATTAAATCAAAATTTTAAGCTTGTTTAATGCACGGGTGCAGCATGAATCAGGCTTTAAGCATATAAGTAGGAGTGTAAAAGCCTTCTTATCTTTGGTTACCATGCCGATGACATCTACCTATCAGATTACGTCATTTGCTTTGTTTTATAAGCAGAATGAGTCCCCCACCTGCAATCAGTGCTGTGAGAATTCAGTCAGCAGGCAGCACTGTGTGTTTTAAGAGAGCACTGCTGGCTGAAACAATGGTGCCTGGTGGTTCACCCCAGCAGTCCCTGAAAAGTGTTATAGAAAGCTTGATAACTTGGACGAGTCTCAAAATCAGTAAGGCACCTCCTGAAGAAAAGCTTGCTCAGAAAAATAAGGACATCTTCAATATTGTCATGACTCCTGATCGCATCCCTAAATTTTTCATCCCTTCTCTGGACATAGAGCACATTTCCTTCCAGCAGGAGCCAGAGGAAGACAGCACAGAGAAGTCTCCTGAGACAGGAGTCTCTGATGAAATCGTTCAGAAGCGCAGAACTACCAGAAGCAAATCTGAATCCTACATCAGGAAAGAAACAATGTGCAAAGGAGAGAGTCTGGACAGAAGAGGAACCCTGTGCTTCACAGAACAAATTACCTTCCCTGAAGACCTGGAGAGAGCTGCAGATCATTGTGACCCGGCAACCAGAGCTGCTTTCTCTTTGCCCCACCTCTCCAGATTCACTACCCCCTACGGGTTTCTCACACTGGGAGAAAGCCCCAACACCAGGAGAAAAGAGTCTCTCTTTTTTCAGCATGATTCTGAAGAGCTGAGAATCCTCCTGTCCCAAAGGAAGAAGACCACATCTCTGGCAAGGGCCTTGTCCAGCCCTTTCAGTGAAATTCAGCAGAGCGTGGAGACCACAAGACCTTCAGTTGCCCCTTTTAAGAGCAGGCAGGCGGTTTCGTGGGAGTCAGTCTGCAAAAGACAGGTTCCTCCTGTCTGCTGCAAGCCAGACTGTGAGCCACAGCCCTTGAAAGGGGAGAAGAAGAGGTTTCAGGTGACATTGAAGAGACACCTGGCCAGCATCAAGCGGATGAGATCTGGCAGTGGGATGAACTGGCTCTGCTAAGCCACTGACAGCTGTCCTGGCTCTTAAGCCTGTGAAAATTTGAATGGGACAGTCTTTCACAGAGGTGTGCAAACGTGAGTGTGTAGCAAATTTTCAGCGTTGCAAGCTCCTGGAAAAGGCTAGACAAACAACCTGACAGAACTTGGTTATGCTTGGCACATTGACTGCATCTTCTGTTTCTTAAAGTCATACCCAGCAGATTTGAATCCTTTACAAGGCGAGCAAAGACAGGACTAACTGAAACAAACCATTTTCCAAAGGAAAGGCTATATTTTCTGGTCATACCTGTATAGTCTGTGAGGAGGAAGGAGATTATTTTACATCAAAAGCAAACTATAGAGAAAGAAAATGTTGTCTTTTAGGGTAGCAGTATTGGTTTCAGAATGACGCCAAAACCAAAATGAAGAATCATGCTAGGTAGTCAGGTAAAAATTGTGAGCTTTTTGTTATTTCTAATATTAGAATGTAAATGAAAACCAATTAAGAGTTAATTTGTCCTGGGGTGTTTACAGCAGGCACTTGCAAACAGCCATTCATAACTTCTGACAGGAATGTGGTGGCTGAGAGGGGATACCAAGCTCCTGCTTGCTAATGACTGTGCATAGTAAACTATTCTCTGCATTTAAAAAATGTGCTTATTTTATCACTTCTGTAGTTAATCATTCAACACGCTCTGAATTAGGGGGGACATGGTATAATTTGTTCACCCCATTAGCAGTGTCAAAGCGTAGCACTATTTTGTTTATCTACTGTCATTGTTCATGTTAAAACTAAACAAAATAAAATCTCTTTTTATTTAATAGTCTTTCTTGTCATTGCTGTTTTTTTCCTGTTTTTAAATTTTTCACAGGCTTGTTATCACCTTGAAATTGGACAGGGGCATAAAGCAGAAGTAGGACTATTCTGTATTCTCAAAACATGTGTTTTTGTTAAACTTGATTGTTTTGCAAGGCACTGATACTCCAGTACTTTAAATACCTCAGTTGAAATTGCCACTGACAGATAGAGATGTCCAATGACATCTAAACACCACAGGGAAAAGATTTATTATGTGAAATTATTAAATTATCACTATTTTCAAACAGTTTGTCTTCATCTATGCAAAATATACTTGACACTGAATTACAAATAAAGATAACTTAATGTACCTGTGAGAATTTTTCAGGGTAAAGATCTGTTCCAAGCTGTATAAGAAAGAGAGTTGTCAGGAGATGACATCTGGTAAAACCCATTAGAGTTTATTGGTTTATAACTTCAGATAATTAGTTTATTTAATCTATTTTTATAACTAGAATATGGATAAAATCATCAGTGCCTACAGTAAAAAAAAAATCTACTTTAGCTGACAAGAGAATATCACAACATTTGAAATTTAAAACATCCATTCCACTATCTTGAACTAAATTTATTTGTGCTGCATAACCTGTAGTAGACAATTAAAAGAGTATCAAGGGACCTTGATGCATGGAAAGATTGCTCTTGTCTGAGGGGATGAGATTGCCCTTGTTTTGCAGACAATAAATAAATTCTGTGCAACAAATACAGCTCAAGCAGCCCATGAAACTCATGTTCCAAATAATCAGAACGAGCTGGCTGTGCTCCCTTGGCTTTGCAGCAGCACAGAGGCCATGGTGTGTGAAATGAAATATGTGTGTGAAATCGAGTAAACTGTGACAGCAGCACAGGTATTGAAGCCTGGCACAGCCACCAAGGCTCCCTTTATAATCTAAAGTATGATTCATCTCATCTCCTGTAGATGACATCTAAAACTCACCAGGTGTTTACACAAGAAGCTTTGTCCAGAAGAATCCCTGGTAAAAATCAACACATCCTTGCAGGAGCCCAAAGGCAATGCTTGGGAGTTCTCAGCTGGAGGTTTAGTAGCAAAGATCATTACTCTGCTCTCCAAACAGAAATAAATAAGACTTTTTTTTGTCTGGTGAAACTATTTTAAAAAATTAAGAAAAAAAGAATTGTAGCAATACTCTGAGCTGGGGAAAATTCAAAAGATCCTTTAAATATGTGTTTGTCATTTTGTCTTGTCACATCAGATTTGTATTAAGGGTGACCATGACTGAAAATCTAATCAGTTAAATGGCTTTGAAAAAGACCTGGATACAAATGAAGTGGCACTCTGTACACTATAACCCACACTAAGCAAACTCTGCAGGCCTACACAAATTCCTGCTTATATTATCAGACATATCAGACACAACTGTGATATTTTCCACTGAGAAAATATTTACAACATCCTGTTAGATGTTAGAAGCTGTTTCTTTTCCATTTCAAGCAGGTGAGCTTTACTTAGCTTGCCTTGGATACAACCAAAATCTGAAGCTTCTAATTGGAGTCCAGGTACATCTTTTAGTTGCACACCTGGCTGCAAATCAGGGATTCTGTCTGGGATTGCCTCATTTTACAGTTTAGAATCATAGAATCATTAAGGCTGGAAAGAGCTCCCAGGTCACTGAGTCCAACCATTGACCTAACACTGCTGGGTCCAGCACTAAACCACACCCTTGTGTGCTACATCTGCAACTTTTTTCAACGGTTTTGGGGATGGTGATTCCACCAGTTCTCTGGGCAGATTATTTCAATGTCTGACCACCCATCTAGTGCAGAAATTTTCCCTAATATCCAGTCTAAACTCCTCTGGCCCAGCCTGAGGCTGTTTCCCCTCCTCCTGTCCCTGTTCCCTGGAGCACAGCCTGACCCCCCGGCTGTCCCCTCCTGTCAGGAGCTGTGCAGAGCCACAAGGGCCCCCTGAGCCTCCTTTGCTCCAGGCTCAGCCCCTTCCCAGCTCCCTCAGCCTCTCCTGGGGCTCCAGCCCCTTCCCAGCTCCGTTCCCTGCCCTGGACACGCTCCGGCCCCTCAGTGTCTCTCCTGTCCTGAGGGAACACTTTGTTTTGGTCATTTTTTACTACACATCCTACAAATACTCAGAGGAGAAAAGCGATGGGGTGTACAAATTGTTTCAAAGCCCTGAGTCAGAGTTGAAGTTTGGGGATGCAATGCCAAGGTTTTCTATTGTTGCTGACTGCTGTGCTCCACCTGTACAATGCTGAAGAAGCAAAGCAAGCCAGCAGAGTGAGAGCCAATCTCCTTTGCATTTCTAATACTCCTTCCAGTTTTTTTCTCCTTTTCCGATGTTCAGCTAAGAAATTCTTCCAATATCCCCTTTTCTGGTATTTTATTTGGTGTCTCACGACAAATTTGTTGAATCCCAATTTGATGGCTGTCACTCTCTGTGAGTTCTTCCATGACAGAATGGAGAGGAAGAAATGGGTGAGGAGGAACTGAGTGCAGGGAGACAACAGGTGCAGTGATTATCAATCCTCATTTTAACAGAAAATCCTAATTGTTTTTTATCAAGAAAAAGATGAACAATTTTTGGAAGGGAGCTTGCAGAGACACAGGGAAATCTTGAAGAGTTCAGCTCATAACTTGTGAGAAGGGATGTGGTGCATGTTCCCTTCTCTTTCGGATGCATTTAACTCACCCCCTTCTCCAGCTTTCCAAGACACCAACACAAGATATCAGACATAAAGCTTTGTTTGTGTTTTCATTCATGAAATTGAAATTGTCTCTTAAAAGTAATATAATTTGGAGTGAAAATCAAAATGTCTATGTCACCCTAGATTTTCACAGTCTTTGACACAGCAGCATTTGGGGCTTTATCCATTCCTATTCCTCCATGATAGTAGCTTCCCTGTATGAGTGACTGAAATGCTGGAGGCAAAAAAACAAAGTTAATCACCCAGAAAACATGTCTATTTTACAAACAGCCTTGGAACAAGTGTGTAAAAAAGGGAAACACTGGAATACCATATAACAATAAGAAATTAAATCAATTACCTGTGAGATCCCTTTCAGTTCAAATGCTTGCAATGAGTGGGTAACTTCTCTAGAGCAATCAGGAAAATCAAAGTCTTCCAGGAGATCGGTGTAAAAATCTCAGTATATTTTTGCTGATTAATTTCATAAAAATAGCTGTTCATGTTTTTAAGACTTGTTTAGCTCTCAGCTGCATACAAAATGTACTCTTAAAACAGTGCTAGAGACCATCAATGTTTCATCAAGTGCTTCACAAATTTTTTGTGACTTTTTTTGATTGTGTTTTTCTCTTTTTCAGTTTCCATTTTGAACTAGTTGAAAGAACTATTGAAAAGATCGTGGGTCTTGAAAATTCAGTACTGTATTTGAAATATCTTGTGCAAATCTTATTTGCCTGAAAGCAGGAATTTCATGATAGTCTGAGATAATTTGCACTTGAGTTGGTTACTTGTGCCTGCATATTAGCTTTCAATCTGATTATTTTTTCTCAATCTCAGCTCATATTTAATTTAGATTTTAAAATTTCTGACTATATTTCTTTGTGATATTGCATCATAGATGACTGTTCTTTTCTAAACTCCTGTATAGCATTTGTGTTTTCTGTTAAAAATGCTATCACGTCATCACAGAGTTATCTGTATTTCGATATTACACAGTTTTGTTTTTTTTTAATTCTGCATATAGGTTGAACATGCATTTGGAAATGGCTTTAAGACATTTCTAGATGCATGGTCTGTAAATATAAGTCATGATCATTATGGTGCAATTCTTTTTTTTTTAAATAGGCCATTGAGGTATAGCACAGTGGTTCCTCAAAGAGATTATATCATCTTGGTGTTTCCTTTCCACGATGACTTTACTCCTATTTTCTCTCTGCCACTGCTGCTGATGCCATCTCACACCATGGGTAACGAAGTGACCTCTATTAATTTGTTCCAAGTTACACAGTGTTGTGAACCCCATGAAATATGTAACACTAATAAACAGGATGATCATTACTTTAATGTATAATGAGAAAATAAATTAAGCAGCTGACATTTAAATAAAATATAAATACTTTATGCATTTTCTATTTACCACATCATGGCAGTAATCCATTTAAAGTCAATGAACAACATAATTGAACGGCTCATGTAATGCTAAGGTCTTCTTGAATATGTTTTCACTGACTATTCACACGGAAACTTGTAATTTCCTGACATTTTTTAGGACTCTTGTAAACATGCTGTTATTATTATACTTTTGTTTTTACTTTCCCAAGTATCAGAAGCATGAGAAATTGCAACGTGCTGCTGAAATGTGGCATGGCTTAGAGATGGCAGGAAAATGGAGCAGTGAAGAAGAGGATGAAGCCAACTTTTCAATATGTCCTGTAGCCATTCCAAACTTGTCTAATAATTGCTAAGAGAGCACGTGAAGGAAAATTTAAACAGAAAAGTCTAACACTCTCTAAGGAAATGGTGACATTTTCCTCTTATGGAACCAATGCTCACTCTCCACAATGTCTAGCAGGAATGGCACTGAAGGAATTGAGTGAAGGATAAAAGAAAAAACAAGCATTGAAATGAAATAAGTGCATGTTTTCATAATAGAAAGCTCTTCCTTGTCCAAAAAGTCAAACAAAGAGAATTTTTTAACTTTTAACATGAATATTCATTTTGGTCTGTGAAGATTTTGCAAATGAGTCAGTGCAGCAAAAACATTTGCATGCCATGTAGGTTTGCTACTCTCTATTGATCTGAGAAATATGTGTTTCATTTAACTCTAAATAACATTTACACTCTCTTTTGGTAAAAAAATACCCACTAAGCCATATATGTTTAAATGTGTATTTTTCAAATATATTAAGGTTAAAGCTTTAGAAATAGAGATGTAAATGTAAAGAAGTGAATAATTTATTTTTAATGCACTGACAAAATT